GAACACGGAAAGACAGGGTCCCTGCCCTCAGGGAGCTCCCAGGGAGTGGGGATGGATCCAGGAATAATGGGAATGCAGTGTGGCGCAGATGTGGACAAAGGCTGTTTGGGGCACTAGCAATCAGAGAGTTTCCTTGAGAAGGCAACCATAGAGCCAGGTTGTAAGGACTGCAGGGACCCCGCAGTTAGAGGCGAGAAGGTTCGGGGAGCAAGGCTAGCACGTGCACGGGAGGAGGTGGGGGAGGCATCAGGATACCAACACATATCTGTGTGACAGGACTCTGAAGTCGGAATGATGTTCCTGGTCTTGCAGATGAGAAACCTAATTCAGCGTAAATTCTGCTTTCCTTAAGAGCGGAAGCGTGTGTGTGTGTGTGTGTGTGTGTGTGTGTTTTATGTCCAAGATCATTTTTTCCTCTTTGCATTGGTAGTTTCATCATCTCAATTGGTGAGTGAAACACTTAGGCATCGAACACTGTAGAGAGGGAATTATTTTAAAAATCACTGGTGTTAAGATTTTCATCAAGGCAGTTTATCTTAGGAGGTGCTCAATTATGTTTTGCTGGTAAGTGTGACTTACATTGAGCCAATCTACATCGATTCATGTGTCAGTCAGTGTCACTCTCTACAATCCGGACCGGTTCACCTGGTCCGGTCCCAGCTGCCTTAGCAGAAAGGACTTTGAAGTAGCCTCACAACTATGGGTTTCTGTGAATTACTTTTTTTTTTAAGAGGATGGTCACTTTGTTCAGGGTGGTATCTATAAACAGGGCAGGTGGGCAGGACCAGGGGCTCAGGAGATGAGCATTCAGACAATCTGCAGGGACCCGGACTGTCCCACCTCGGGGGTCAGAGAGAACAGTTGGCTTGTATCTGACCAGCACCCCAGGTCACACAATTTTTAGAAGAGAACCTTTTTCATTTAGAGAAAACATCATGCCACTTGGTGATTTAGGGGAAGTTTGTGAGTGTTCTTTGTGTGTGCACATACATACTTACATATATACGTGCGTATGTATGTACAGATACTTAATATCTCTTAAATAGGAACTTGTTAAATATATATACTTACGATATATTAAATTTACTTTTAGGCATACAAATAAGTCCCCTAGATTAGTGTCTCCCTACCTTGGTTGCATATTAGAATCACCTGGGAGATTTGTAGCAATCAGAATGTCCAGGCGGTACCTCAGGTGTCTGGCTGGGGACCCAGGCATTATTGTTATTATTATTATTATTATTATTATTTTATTTTTATTTAAGCTCCAGGGGAGAATGAGTGCCCTAGACTTCACATCAGTTGTTAAAACATATTTTCCAAGATGTCATGATTTAAGAAGCACTTCAGAGGTAAGATTATGCAGATGTTACAGTGGAGCAGATGATTGACTAAGACACCAAACTGTATATATTTAATGAATTGAATGAATTCATCAACTCAGCAAATAATAAACAAACATAAAATAAAGTATATCAGTTAGGGATAAGTGCTATGAATGGAAAAACAAAGCGCAGTGGAAGAGGAGAGAGTGGTGTGCGTGCGTGAGTGCGTGCGTGTATTTGCATCCAAGGGGTCATGCTGTTAGATTTCCACGGAGTGCTCGCAGAGGGCCCGTACGTGGTAACTATGCTGTCAGCACACTGTAAAGGAAGAGCAGGACTCTTTAATTAATTATAGAGAAGTAATTAGTAGCTCTTTGAGAAAAAAAAAAAACCATTAAAATATCTAAGAACTGGACCAAAGGTATAAAAAGAGAGTTCATACACACGGGAATAAAATAGCTAAAAACTGCATGTTTAATATTCTGCCTTATTTATACCAGTAGAAATGCAGGTTTAAAAAAGCCACGAGACACCATTACCAATTTGAAGAGGGAATTACTTTTAAAGAATTTGAACGCCCAATGCTTTATGTGGGTGTGGTAGATGGATATTATCTTGCACAGCTGAGGAGTATGAATTATTACATTTCTGGAATGTGGTTTGATAGTATATGTTAATGACATTTAAAATGTATTCTTTGACCTATAGATAGTATTGCCATTGTCCTAACACCAAGAAAATAATGAGAAAGGTAGATAAATAACTAACATTGAAGTGATACTTATTATGCACCGGATACTTTGCAATAGAAACTCACAAAACCTGCACATCACTTCTGGGAGGTAGTGTTGTTACTCTCTTTCCTGGATAAAGAAACTGAAGAGCAGGGAGGGTAAGTGAATTGCCCAGAGTTATTCAGCTGGTAAAGAGTAAGATGAGAATTCAAATCCAGCCAGTCGGGCACCAGAGGCCGTGATCCAAAAACTGATCTGTACCACCTAGCACAAGAAGATAGTCATGGGGGTTATTTTGTAATAAAATATATCTTATAGATTGTAATAGACCCGTATCGAGGGATATATGGAGCAATTAAGATGATGTTAACAAAGAGATCTTTGTGACTCAGGGAAGTGCTCATTGATTAAGTGAAAAATGCAGGATGTGAACATTTTTGAAGATTTTAATTATTTGAAAATCATGAAGAAAAAGTACAAGGAAACATGTTAAAGTATTATGCATATTGAGATCATTTTCTTCTTTTCAATCTTCATTTTATAATGTCCTATATTGGGCATTATAATACTTCAGAAGTCAAAAACAATTTTTTTATTATTTATTTATTTAAAAGATTTTATTTACTTATTTGAGAGAGAGAGAGTGAGAGATAGAGAGCACGAGAGGGAAGAGGGTCAGAGGGAGAGGCAGACTCCCTGCTGAACAGGGAGCCCGATGCGGGACTCAATCCCGGGACTCCAGGATCATGACCTGAGCCGAAGGCAGTCGCTTAACCAACTGAGCCACCCAGGTGCCCCAAAACAATTTTTTTTAAAAAGAAAGAAAGGAAGAAAGAAAGAAAGAGAAAGAAATTTAAAAATCATGGAAAGGAAAAAAAATCAATATCAAACATAACACTAAAAAAACCCCCCAAATTCCTTCATGAAAGAAATTTAATATTTACATTCTCCTATATATATCTTATTAATACTTACTAGAGTATCTGTGACACTTCCAGAATAACTTTTCTTTTGGAAATGAGCTCCATTATTTAATATCTTAATCTTTTAAATCCATAATAAGTACATTAAAATTTATATATATACACAAACAGACCAGTGCCAATATCAGCTAGTTTGGGATCTTAACATGTTTCATGTTGAAACTCAGAGGTAACTCATCAGAATGCTGGATTATTTCATAGAAACTTTATCTCTCAGTAGACCTTGAAAATTAACAAAAAACCCAAACCAAGAAAAAAACAGCAGTGCCCTTTACAAGGCTGTGTCAACCTTAGCCAGAGGAAACAATACTTTTCATTCTACCTGAGGTAAGAGAATGGATAGTTAATAATAAATGTGTGTATGTGTGCGTGGGTGGGGGGTTGATTTCAAACCGTAGAACCATAGAAATATTCTAATTTGGTTATGAACAGTTGGTACTTTCCATACGTACTTAACTCTTTTGTCTTTACCTTATTGATTGTTATCTCTTGGAAATTACAGCAGATGCTTTGTGATGTTATTCATAAAGATTGATGTAAATGGTTTGACAGCTTAGCCATTAAACTTCATCCAGGATTTGGGCGTTAACAGTGTTTTTTTGTTTTTTTGTTTTGTTTTGTTTTGTTTTTTAGTACGGGAGGTGAGTGGAAGTTGGTAACAGAATTATCTGGGACAGAGAGGCTGGCATGCATCCAGAAAGCCTTCATTACACTAGTTCATCTAATCACTCAATAATTTTGATAATAGGCCTTGTTACTCATCTCCATTTTGGGAATGAGCAGATAGGATCTGAGACTTTTAAGTAACTTGCCTAAGGTTGCACAACTAGTCAAGGCTCTAGCCTCAGTGTGCGCTATGCAAGGAACATGGGATTGCTTATGAAATATTCACACTTGGTGTCAGAGACCCACTGCCACTTTCCCCCATTTTACTCTCTAAATCTGTAATTCATAGGCTAAAATATGTATTGGAGTAGGATTGAAATTCAACATAGTTTTGAGTCCATGTACATTAGGCATTTGGAGTGTAGGAAACTCCTGCTTTCTCTGTTTCCCTAAAATAAACGCACGTGGGCATGTGTGTGTAAATACACACACACACATCCATACACCTATTCCTCTGTAACAAGTATTAGTGCTTACTCTATGCTGGGCATTGTTCTGGACTCCAGTGATACAATAATGAACAAAATAGACTCAGTTCCTAAGTTACGAAGAACTTAGTTCTGAAGAAGGAAGATGGATATTTAAAAATTCAAGCCACAAATGAAGATCATGATGAGCATTTTGGTGTGATGAGAGAAAAAAGGACACACACATACACACACACACACACATCCTTACATGGGCAGACCTGCCATACATATCTCGATGTATCACAGACTGTCTATTCATAGAACAGTAGATTTTCTGGAAATATTTTTGGTCTCAACTTTGACCTTTGAGGTAAGGTTTAGTAGAACAGGCTTGACATACAGCAGACTTTTTTGTATTGGAAAATTGCATTCTTAGGAATTTCTTTTTGGATGCTGAAATTCATTACCTTGAAATTTTATGAATTCTGTGTGGCTGAAAGTTCTGAGAATGCTTGGTGAGTATATTAAGGGACATGAAAACTTACTGCACTGATTTTTTTAAAAGTCTGTGTGCCAGAAGATTTTTAAAAATCTCCCTCATGGGCGCTTGGGTGGCTCAGTTGGTTGGGCGACTGCCTTTGGCTCAGGTCATGATCCTGGAGTCCCGGGATCGAGTCCCACATTGGGCTCCCTGCTCAGCTGGGGGTCTACTGACCCTCTTCCCTCTCGTGCTCTCTGTCTCTTATTCTCTGTCTCTAAAATAAATAAAATCTTTAAAAAAAAAATCTCCTTCATGCTACGGGTGTATGTTTATTTGCAAGTTTTGGCTAAACCCGTCTTACTCTGTTTTCCAGAGAAACTACTGGAAGCAGAATCCTCAAGATGCATCGTATAGAACTACTCTTGACACTTTTGGCACTTATGTTTACAAGAACCTCAGGTAAGTGAATATAATCATTCACAAGCATACTTCATGGGTCATCTAGAGGGAATATCAAGGTTTCACTTCTTTATGTGGAGGTGGCTATTGAAGATGCTGAATTTATTAAAATTAATGGTTTTAGATTTTACTTTGAAAGTTACCAACCATATGGTGTCCCTGTCGTAGAGAAGAAAAGTTTCATAGAAATGAAATCAAGGGGCGCCTGGGTGGCTCAGTCGGTTAAGTGGCTGCCTTCAGTTCAGGTCATGATCCCGGGGTCCTGGGATCGAGCCCCACGTAGGGCTCCCTGCTCAGTGGAGAGCCTGCTTCTCCCTCCGCCTCTGCCTGCCGCTCTGCCTACTTGTGCTCTCTCTCTATCTCTCTGTCAAATAAATAAATAAAATCTTAAAAAAAAAAGAAATGAAATCAAGTAAAGAATCATGTGGGATTACTGAAAAGGAAAAGATTTAGTCCTCTGAGTTTATGCAGAGAAAACAGGATTGTATCTGGAAACAAATTACATTTGTCTGAGATGAAAATCTGCTTTATGTTATTTAAAACTGAAGAGTTCACAGCCATCTTTATTATTATTATTATTATTTTTAAAGATTTTATTTATTTATTTGAGAGAGAGAGAATGAGAGAGAGAGCACATGAGAGGGGGGAGGGTCAGAGGGAGAAGCAGACTCCCCGCCGAGCTGGGAGCTCGATGCGGGACTCGATCCAGGGACTCCAGGATCATAACCTGAGCCGAAGGCAGTCGCTTAACCAACTGAGTCACCCAGGTGCCCAGCCATCTTTATTATTGATTTTTAGAAAGTTTTACACACATTCTTTTTCTCCCAACATGAAGGCCAAGATTCATTTCATCATTTAGGTAGTGAAGACAGTGAGTGGGAATGCCTTACAGGTCTTGAGGGAAGTACTTGAGTTAGAAGGAATACATAAGAAAGACCGCATAGACTAGGGAAAATAAGCAGGCTTTATATCAGGTGGCAGGTACCAGTTTTAACTGATTAGCAGTGATGGCTTGGAGACTTTTATCAAGAAGGATTCCGTGGCTTCATCAGGATCCTTTGGAGAAGAGATTCATGACTGATTAGCAAGGTTCTCCTTATGCTTTGGAGGAGAAGGTGGGAACACAAGTATTGATTTGCCTTGATCTGTTAATTAGGAGAGGGTAACACATAAGCCCATATCCCCTACTTTCAGAATTACTGCTGAAGAGATAGGGAATTTAAATTATTGATACTTTCAAATAACTCCAGTCCAATATTTACTTAAGTGGGTCCATTTTTGTTGAGATCCTGACAGTGCAATACTACCCAGATGTTAAAGAAGGAGGTAGATCTGCTCCTCTTGATGCCAGATGACTAATCTTTTAGAAACTGCAGGGTGAAAAAGCAAGGTGCAGGGAAGTGTGCATTGTGGGTACCTTGCTCTGTAGACACACACTGATAACCTTGCCCCCAAGTTACAGTGAAACATGTTTCAGGCTCAAAACTAGTCACACAGCCCATTCTATAAGGTTACTAAGGTCCCAGCTCTTTGTCCTTTTAGGTATCTGAAGAGCACCTTTCATAAAGGGTTCACTCTGGGCCAATATGACAATATTCTACATGAGGATTCATTTAATCTAGTAGAAGTTGAATGACAGTATCTTATTTATTATCCAAACTCAAGACATTTCCAAACACAGACATCATTTCAAAGGGTCTAGGTTGTTGACCCTGTTGGATTCTTATTCTCTGTTCATGTAGGAATGGGAGTTCTTGCTCTGGGCAGTCCATACACCTTGAATTCCACTCACTTTTTTTTTTTCAATCAAAAACAATTTCTAATCAACAAAGCCTATAGTGTGAAGCATAAGAAAGATTAGGTAGCTGAAGCCATTAACTGCCAGGGGAGCATGAACTTTCAACTCCAACCATCTACCCCTGGAGGGTCTGTAAGCCAGGTTAGGTTTCTACAAATGATAAGTCCTCCCCCAAAGAAATGGTGAATGTGTCTATCACAACACACGCACAGGTGTTTATAGAAGTGTTCTTTTTTAAGAGTGGCCGAAACCTAGAAATAACCCATATGTTCAAAACCCACAGAATGGATAAATTGTCAAATATGAACACAACTGGATGTACATAACTATGAGAAAAAGAACAAATCACTGCTTCATGCAGCAACATGTCTGCCTATCAGAGACATGATGATTTAGGAAAGAATCTAGGCAGAAGAGCACAGACTGTAGGATTTGTGTCCTTTGTTTTATGTATATTATATCCCTGAAATGGGAAAATAAGTGAAATTGTTTTTGACATGCCATCCTTTTGGATGTCAGTTAAAACTAACACCAATACTTACACATGTATCACTCCTTCTCTGTTGAAGTAGTGAAATGTAAAATGGAGTTTCTATAACAACCACCAAACACAAGGTTGGTATTCATTAACACTTGTACTTTAAGGTAGATTCGACCTCCATGTTTTCAAAGAATACTTCTACCATTTGAGCCACTTCCTCTTTACATTGTGGTTAACAACATCGAGTTAAAACCAGACAGTTGCTTTGAGAAATAGACCCTAACTATAGAGAAGACCATGCCCTCAAATGCTCTACTTAATTTAAGGATTCTCATTCTCAAAATTCAGTTACAGGGCACTGTTGGTGGGAATGCAAATTGGTGCAGCTACTGCAGAAAACAGCATGGAGGTTCCTCAAAAAATTGCAAATAGAAAGACCATATGATTCAGTAATTTCACTACTGGGTATTTATCCAAAGAAAACAAAAACACTAATTTGAAAAGGTACATGCACCCCTATGTTTATTGCAGCATTATTTACAACGGCCAAATATGGAAGCAACCCAAGTGTCCATTGATGGATGGATGGATAAAGACGATGTGGTGGATATATATACACACAATAAAATATTACTCAACCACAAAAAAGAATAAGATTTTGCCACTTGGGACAGCATGGATGGACCTAAAGGGCATTATGCTAAGTAAAATAAGTCAGAAAGAGAAAGACAAATACCATATAATTTTGCCTATATATGGAATCTAAAAAACAAAACAAATGAATAAACAAACAAATGCAGACTCCTAAAATACAGAGAACACTTTGGTGGTTGCCAGAAGGGAAGTAGGGAGATGAGTGAAATACATAAAGGGGATTAAAAGTACAAATTTCCAGTTAGTTATAAAATAAATAAATCACGAGGATGAAAATTATAGCATAGGGAGTATGGTCAATAATATTGTAATAACATTGTATGGTGACAGATGGTGACTACACTTATCATGGTGAGTACTGTGTAGTGTATAGAATTGTTGAATCAATATGTTGTACACCTGAAGCTAATATAAGACTGTATGTTAATTATACTTGAATAAATTAAAAGGGCATGCTGGAGCCATCGGAGAACAGGATATGGAAAGGGACTATGAGGGCTGACTTTGGACTATCAGAAGTTCAAAAGGAGGGGAGTGATGACCCTGTCAGCTGAAAAGATCAGATAAATTTCTGAAGACAGAGTATCTGGGTTGATTGAGAAAGAGGGAGGGGAGAAGGGAGGGAGAGAGCGAGCTTGCAAGAGCACTCAAGGAGGGAAGTAACAGATACCCAGATTTGGAGTGATACTGTATTAATCAATCCTTGTCAGTCCACGTGGTAACCCAGAGAGATAATGAACTCACACACACTCTAAGCTATATAGGAGCACCTTAACCATCCCCAGGCCTGCCCAGGGAATGGTCAGGTAAACTGATTGAGAGCACACTTCTGATGAGACAGGGGAGGAACTCTGAGGACTCTAGATTTCTTGTTTTCATTTCCATGGAGACTCCCCAGCTAGGGATGTTTTGGGGTAGGTGTGGCAACACGGTGACCTCTGTGGTTTTCGTTAGGAGGAATCTGGAATGTGTAACATTTTCTTTGAAAAGACTTCACTGCATTTATCTGTCCTCTAGCTATGGTAGGTTAAGTTTGGGTCGAGTCCTGTTTGGGAAAGGCATTAGAAATGTTGTCTACATTTATGCCCTGAGAGTGTCCTAGTGTTGGAAAGATTGACTTTCTGTCTCTTAGTGTTGGAAAGATTGACCCTTTTTAAAATGAGAACTCACAAGACTGAGACATTGAGATTGCTCAGGACTTTCTTACTCCTCTGGCTTATTTGCCTCATTACCTTTGTCATTCTGTTTTTGTTTTTCTTTTACTTTGCTAATCTTATGAAGAAACTTGTACTTCACGTTTTAACATCACCGCAGTCAGAGGGGAACCTTTCTATCTGAGATATTGCTCATCAGCATCTGAGCCCAAGAATGAAACAGCCGTCATAAAATGGTACAAGAGCAATGGATCACAGGGGCGCATTGAGCTAAACTCAAGCAGTTCACCCAGAATTTCTCTGCACGATTATGTCTTGGAGTTTTGGCCAGCTGAGTTGGAGGACAGTGGATCTTACTTTTTCCAAATGGGGTAAGTATAGCTTCTCTTTGTGTTAGTGTATTTCATAGCACTCTTGGACTTAATTCAGCAAATCAGATATACAGCATCTGAAAGGATAATGCATGCATTTACTCTCCTTTACCCCTCCTACAACATGCAATAAATACGTCATTATGGAAAAATTAAATATCTGCCCTTGTGTTTATCTTTTTAGTGATCTTAACGAAAGATTACCTTAATATCTCTTTTGGGGAATCCTTACCAAAGATAAGTGGGTACCAAATGAAATTCATTTTAAAATTCAGCTGCTCCTACTGTGTAGAGTTGTTGGTCAAATTGGATAAGTGAGGACTCTATATTGACCGTGTGGTGAAGGGGGGCAACGTCAGCTTCCTGGGTGGCATCCTCAGGCTGGGGCAAAGGGTCGGAACTGGTGTAGGCTCATCCCGGTCCAGTTTTCCGGGGTTTGTTGAGTATCGGGTGGTAGTGTGAGTGAAGGATGTGTGGGTCTTGCAGCCAGTCACAGACCTACAGCCAGGGGCAGTGAGAGAGAAGAGCCCAGAAAAGGCTTTGCATGACTTTCACGGGACAGACCCCTATAGGCTATGCCAGGACACTCATATTCAAGAGTCCAAGAGTCATAAGTTCTTTGAAATGAGAAAAACCAACTGAATGTTTCAGTGATTATTACTGAACTGGGTTCTCTTTATACTTTATTTGGTGAGCTGGGAAGGAGCAGCTGGGACAAGCGGTGTTCTATGTGATGGATTATTAGTCTTTATGACATGGTGTTTATCTGGCATGTTTGTGGTGCTGTGTATGTACTTGCCTCTGCACGTGAGTATGTGTGTAGTTTTACGAAATCTGAGGCTGACCTGGGAAAGATAGCTCAGGGCCAGGTGAGGGGAGTGGTGGTGGTGTGCTCTCAGATGTAGTAGATTTCTGGGGTGGGTCCTGATCATTATCAACAGTGCTATTGAGAGCAGAGTGAGATAATCACGGTGAAACCTTGTTATCACTCATGTGGTTTTGCACAAAATGAGGTCATTTTGGTTTGTTTCTATACATAGGAACCCCCAGGAGTCAGAAAGAAATTCAAGAACTCTTTTCCTGTTGTTTGTTTTGACCAGTGAATTTTATGTGTTCCTTGAAGAGTGACGATTCTAGAAGTAGCTCACAACTGGGACTTTTCACACTAATGTAGAATGAATACTCACAAATGGGGTAAAAAAAAAAAAATCTCCCTAGTCCTCATTTAATAAAGGCATGATTTAAATGCGGGAAGTACCCCAGACAGGGCAGGAAGAGCACATTGAGGGGAAGAGTCAGTTATCCACAAACATCGCTTGGAGACAGACAGGGACGGAAGGCAACGTCTCTCTGATACGGAGCGTGGAGAACAGAGCCTGGCTTAGGAAGGAAGAGTGGAAGCATCAAATAGAGACCGGCTGTCGGAGAAGTGTGGAGAGCTAGGAAGACGATCAGACAGGGCAGGAAAAGCAAGGTGGCTCAGTGGCTGTGGTGATGAACTTTGAAAGGTGTTGGAGGCTGACGAATAACGTGAGACTGATGTGATGGAACGAGGAGAGACCTTGACAGTGGTTTTGGGAACATCAGTGGGCGGGGTGCAGCACCTGGGTGGCTCAGTCAGTTGAGCTGAGCGTCTGCCTTAGGGTTTGGTCGCGATCCTGGGGTCCTGGGATCGAGCTCTGCATCGGGCTTCCTGCAGCAGGGAGTCTGTTTCTCCCTCTCCCCCAGCTGGTGGTCACTCTCTCTCTCTCACATAAATACATAAAATCTTTAAAAAAAGAAAACCAATGGGAATTTACACAGGTTGTTTTGGACACCTAGGGGCATTGAAGATGGGGATTTCTTCAAATTTGGGTCACTGGTGAACAATATCCTCTGTGTGTGTGTGTGTGTAGGTGTACGTGTGTGTGTGCACAGATTTAGGTGAGCAAGCCTCTGTAATTTCATGTGGAATCTGTCCATTAGAACCATAATCCTTTCATTTTTCAGGAGCCCTCTACTAATAATCAAAGGCCTCTGGAGACTGATACTTGAATCCTGAAGTCAGATCAAATTTTAAGGAGGAAATCCACCAAGAAGGGAGGGGATGCAGGAGAGAGGGGGTTTTCGATGCTAGAGGGGAGGGCATGAATATAGAGAGAAAAGCACATGCAGAAGTCTCACAGTCATGTTCTAGATTGACAAGCAGCAAGATTGACTTGGTAAGGGGCCTCCCAAGAATGGGCTAAAGCTTTTCAGATCCCCTCTTGTGTGGCAGGAGTGGCTCCTGTGACCAAGAATGGATGGCCTTATGGGAGAACAGGGGTGGTCACAGCTTTGGTCAGTTGGCCTCAGCTTCACACTGGCCTTCACGCTCCCCGAGCAAGGACAGTGTCCACTTGGTCCCACATTCCCAGGGCAGTGGCTGGGACATGGAGGCGTTCTGTCAGACAGGACTTAGAGCTAGGAATTGAGCATTGCAGAGGTGGAGAACAATATGACCCGATAAGATGGAAGTATGCATGCACTGTCTTCCTCGTAAGTGACAGGACAGAAAGATCTGGAAGTAGAACTCTGTCCAGCTCAGCAGCGCTGAAGTCGGGGAAACATTAGACACACTAGGGAAGACGATGATGCCAATGGGATTCTGAATCCTTTCCAAGGGCCGGGTAGCTCTATTATGTTCCATGGCCGTTGACCTACCGCCTTTAACCTTTAGGACAGCTTGTCAAGCCACCCACCACTTCCTGCCCAAGGGAGGGGCCAGACTCACCTCGACTGTGAGAGCATAGTATTGGGCAGTGCAGTCCTGGTCTTTAGCACCAAACTGAAGTGTGTTTGCATCCTGACACTGCCGCTGACCGGGTGTGGGAACTTGGGCCAGTTATTCAGCTTTAGGTGAGGTTTAGCTTTCTGACCTCACATAAGAGAAATCTCCATCCCCATTGCACATGCGTGGTGCAATGCCCGGAGCTCAGTGATTGCTAGTCTTCCTTCCACGCTACTGTAGACTTAAGAGGGCACTGCAGGAGCCTGTGGTAGGTACAAAAGGCACACTGGACAACTTAACCACACGTCTGTTGTGTTTAGTATGGGGATCCGTATATTGCATGTGCAGTTTAAACAAACATCAGGTTGCAAACATTTCCTTGTTTCCTGGCCAATAGAACATTATTGTAGAATGTAACACTTTTTAAAAATGTTTTAACTTAAGGGGCGCCTGGGTGGCTCAGTGGGTTAAGCATCTGACTCTTGATTGCAGCTCAGGTCATGATCTCAGGGTTGTGAGATCGAGTTCCTTTTTAAAAACTGTGTTAAAGTTGTTTCCTCTTCCAGATTACTAATTTCTAATCAGAAGGAACAACATCAATAAAATCGATTCAAACTAATGTTTGCTCAGTAAAGTGCTAATATAGTTATGCAGCCACTCCAGACTTGGCTTTACTCAACAGTAAGAGAAGAGGATTAGAAGAAATTGCCCAGAGAAATATAAAACCCAATGCATATATACACACTTCCAGGAAACAAGTTCAGGAGTTTGTTTGTGGATCTCATCAATCCACTGCTACTGTCCCATCCTGAGTTAAGAATCTTTGAACTTGTATATTTTCAAAGATCATTGAGGTTTTAAACATTTCTGTCCAGACACCCATAATATATGGTCTGTAGCAGGTTGTGTGTGTGTGTGTGTGTGTTTGTGTGTAGGACTGCTGAGGTTTTTCTCTTTCACAGCCCCTTACCCTTGTCCCATGACAATTGTTAAATTTCTTGCCGCACTGAACCAAAATGGGGCAGAGCATGGTCTGGGCATCAGTGAATGAGCCTCTTTATACAAAAATAAGGAAAGGTTTTCACTGGATGGATTGGTTACTAAAAGGTGGTATTTGCAAAGTCTCTGTACTAATTATAAAATACCTTTAAACCTTTATTTCATAGAAATGATACGCATGAATGGAAATTAAATGTCATTGGAAAAAGTAAACACGGCTGTTTTGCTGAAAAACAACTAATTAGTAAAACTGTGGAAGTTCAAAAATCTTTGCATGTAAACTGTAAACAAAACACATACTATTCAAAACTGGCCAATAGAACATCACTGTATAAGGTAACACTTCTAAAATATTTTAACTTAAGGGGCGCCTGGGTGGCTCAGTGGGTTAGGCGTCTGACTCTTGATTTCAGCTCAGGTCATGATCTCGGGGTCGTGAGATCAAGCCTGGCGTCGGGCTCTGAGCTCAGCAAGAAGTCTGCCTGAGAATCTCGTTCTTCCTGCCCCCCGGCCCCTTACTCCTGCTCTCTCTCTCTTAAATAAATAAATCTTTAAAAAATATTTTAACTTGAGGGGAAAAAGCCAAAAATTCAAAGTGAGGCTGTGGAGCATCCTTGTTTTGTCCCGTGCAAGCTGCCTGACCCCTCGACAGCTCAGCTGCCCGTCTGAGCAAGGTGTCCCAGCAGGGTTGCTCAAATGAGCTCCTGCCCCATATTAAGTGTTTGATAAATGGTAACAGCTTCCTCTTTCTTGCCCGTCTTTCATTTTCCTTCTCTTTTGATAAATTAAATTTTAGGAATGTTAGCTTAGGGATTTTTATTTTCTTCTGCCACATATATTTAAAATTTTAAATTCTATTGTATACGATATTTTGTATTGTATATGTATTTTTTCTAAACATATGAGTTCCTTTTATAAAGATGGAAGATGGGAAAAATGCACAATGAAGACAGCAGAGCTCACTCAAAATTCCCCCAGCCAGAGACGTTGGGATTTTTGTGTGTGTAAACATCTACTTTTAAAAAGTGATATTTAAAAACGTTTTTAAATAAAAATGGTATTTTTAATGGCTTGTATTTTTCCTTTATCCACTAAAAATTATATTGCGATTATTCCCCTACCTCTTTAAACATCCTTCCGAACGTGGGATTCCATTGTGTATTACTCTTGTGTCTAACTAATCCCCTGGTTTTGGGCATTTGTTAGTTAGTTATTTACATAGCTAAAATAAGTATCAGTCTCGTAAATCTTAGGGTGTATGTATGATTTTTATTCTTCAGTCACATCCCTAAAAGTAGAATTATTGGATCAAAGGCTATGAGCACATTTATGGCTTTTGCTCCACATTATTAAACTTCTCTCCGGGGAGCTATGCTAGTTCAAAACCCTCTTTTCCAACACCACCACACACTGTGAAGTCATACCGTTAGAATCTGACATGCAAAATTTCTGTACTTTTCAGTAGTTTTTTTCCCCATTTCTTTTCTTAATAATAAATTGAACATCTTATGTATTTATTGCACCTTAGGATTACTTTTGTGGATTATCTATTTTCTTCAGCTGGTGTACCTTTTACTTGAATTGTAAGAGCTCTTTTAGACAATACTATGGAGATTATATATATATATTCACATATGTATCATATATAAACTTATAGTATATACATATATAATACATAGACATACATAAATTACATACATGCAGACACCCAACACAAATTATATTATTTCTATAGAAGAACAAACCTGAAAAATGTGACTCTGTTATGGAAATTTTAAAGAGCCGTATGGGAGAGTGAGCCAGACAGAAACCCTTCAGAAAGTTGAAGCTACGGATGATTTCCTAGAAATCTTTGTTTACATATTTTGCTTCACCACTGTTTACTTGTGATTTTTCAAGGAGAGCTCTTATCCAAATGACCAAGAGTCAGTCCTGAGTGGACTTGACTCTATTTCGTGTCAAACGTGCAAATATTTAACAGTACTTATAATTTTGTGAGGTTCAGTGTACAGGTTTCAAGAAATCTCAACATGTGGATATTTAAATTCAGAAAATAGATCTATTGAGGATGTTTCTAGCTAGATGATTAAACACAAGTTTCACTATTCTCAGCCTGTTTACAGATCATGACCTATCTGAGGGGAGGAGAGCAAGGAAGCTAAATCAGTAAACAAATGATTGGAAATAAAAATGAAGAGTCTTTGATATTTAAATGTGCTTTGGAAAAAAACAGTTTGGGGTCATAAAAGTTTGACATGTACAGAAACAATTTACTGAAGTGAGGATGCGGGTGGGCGCTTCCATGCTAAGCACCCTCTGGGCTTAGCCCCAGTTGCTGCCAGCTTTGGCACCTTCGAGAGAGGTCTGTGGGCAGTACATTCTCCTTGTTCCTAAGCAGGAACAGTGTCACATAGTCAAGGTTAGCAATTTAGTTCCCATTTTCCATATCTGGATGTTAGATCGCTTAGAACCTCTTCCATGGGTGACTGATGGCTAGATTGAAGAAGGTGGCTTTTTTGTTTTTATTCATTCCTGTGACCTACATGGAAATTTGTGGTGGAGAGACATGTTTGTGTGTGCCTGTGGATTTGAATATTCTTGATACCTTTCTGATCAGTCCACTGTCTTCTGGTGGAAGACATCAAGAGGATGGGTGGTTTGCTAGGTACTCAGGTCTCTGAGTAATTTTGCTCCCACCTCCACTACCCACCCCCAGGATGGATAGTCCTGAGTATATGGACTTAAACTACAAGTGTTACAAAATAGAGTTGTGCAAAAAGTTTTCACCCAAGCAAGGATTTTTTTGTTGTAGTGATTACTCTCTCTCTCCTCCTTTACCTCCTTCCTTCCACCCCTCCTTCCCTTCTCCCTCTCCCTTTGTCTTTACCCCTCCCCCCCTTTATGTGTAAAAGAGAGAGATTAAAAGAAAATGACAGGAGCAGCTACAGCACCCCCTATATTCTATTTCCCAGCATGTATTAATAACAACAATAATAACAGTAATGGGACTATGTTTCATTGTTGCCACAGAGGCAGTACCAGATCCCTGGGACATCGACTCAGATATTGCTAGTTTTCAGTTTCCCCCTTTTTAAATAAAAATCTTTTATAAATTTGAATCAATATAATATGATACTGCTTTTACTTAAAATATTTTAACTTGCTTTTTTCCTTTTTTTTTTTTTTTTGCAAAACAGAACTGTGAAGAGATGGAGAACAATAAAAACCCAGTTTTACAGAAGAATGCGGAGTTTAAAGATCAGGGATATTACACCTGTGTGTTTTTCATTCATCATAATGGAAAACTATTTAATGTCACCAAAACCTTCAATGTAACAATAGTTGGAGGTAAGAGAAATTTTAGAATCGGAAAGAAGCAAATGTATCTTTGTAAAATGAGTTTTCTTTGTAATGCAGGAATCCAAAGGCAACTTAACTTGGAGTTGTGACCACATTGCTAGCTCAAATATAAGGGTCAAATCATTTGGGCATCATTCACCACATTGGAAAGATTTTTTTCGGGGGGGGGGGTGTAGTAAATGACCTTTATATAGGTGAGCCTCCCATGAGCCAGCATTCTTAGTTCATGTTTGAGTAATTTTGAGGAATCTCTTGTTTAGCATATGCTTTCACTCAACAGATATTCTTCAAAGTGTCTATAATTCAATAAACTGTACTGAGCATCAGGAGGTAAAAGAGGCAGGGAAATAGGAAATAAAGTGAGTAACGTACTAGAGAAATTTGATTATGGGCAGGAGAGGTGATAATCCACATAGGAGTACCCTAGTATATGAAACGGGATTCATCTGTGAGGTGTTAAGGGTGCAGAGAGAGTCCAGAGGAAGATCAGAGTCTGGAGACTCCGAGCTGAGTTTAGAGGCTGAACATGAGATGGGCAGGAGGACGTGCCGGGGACAGGGTGCTCTGGGATTTCAATGATATACTTCAAGTTTTAGTAGATGGCATACTGTCTTAAAGATATTCTTTTACACCACCCCTCCCCTAGGGCTCCCACTGACATTCCTGACGGCGGGGCGGGGGGGTGGGGGGGAAGACGGATCCAGAGAAAGATAAACAATAGCAATTTTCTACAAAATCACCCCTTTGTCCTTGAATCAGTTCATGTCCCTCAGTATTCTCAAGACCTGAGAGTTCCTACTTTCTCTGGTGGCATCCCAGGTCCTGCTGTCTGCCTGTATTCATTCCACACTTGCCCAGAGAGTCTGAATCCCAGAAAAACCAAATCTGACTCGCTTGGAGTTTCACTTTGCAAGTTTCATCCTCCAGTTCCTACCCACACACTCACCACTCGTTTCTCTACCCTTCACTCTGCAGCATCACACTTCCCGAGAGGGCTTAGGCAGGGTTGGTGCCGGAGAGCCCCCCAGGCTCCCTTCACTCCTTCCGCACATACACTGTTTTTGCTGAGCACCAGTAAGCCCCAGGAGTTTGCTGAGCATCGGGAATGACTGCTCTGTACATTACTTGTAAATGCCCCAGAAGCACCGGCTGTACCAGAAGGGAGAGTCTAGGTCATGAAGAAAGTTGCCAGTGCTGATCTTTGGACTGACAAGAACTTGACAACATAGCAGGTTCAATGTGTGCTCTCCGTATTCAGCAGTTATTAGCTCCCTAGGTCGTGTGACAGCATTCAGAGGGAAGCTGAGGCCGAGAGTATTAGGTACCTCTAGTCAGGGTCAGAAGTCACTCAGGAACAGAAGCAGAGCTGAGCCCGCAGGTGTGGACATCCCTGCAGGGCCAGGACTAAGGTGAGGCAAGCGAGGCATCCAGAGCACAAAATTAAAGGGGTGTTTCCCTCAGTGTTTGCGCGGGAAGGGTCGACACCTGCACAGAGTAGAGTCCCTGTCCCCAATAAATCTGTCTGTGAGGAGTTGATGAGAGCAGACAGGAGGAATAAAGGCAGAGCAGAAAGGCATTTCCCGGGGACTTTCCCGCTAAGTCCTGCAGGTGGGTTTGTCCGCCTGGATGGACATTTTCCTCTGGCGTTTAGCTGCAGAAGCCACAGATTTGAGCTGAGGGAAACCCAATTCAGTGTGTTTTCTCTGGTTACATTAGCTTTGAGTTGACGGAAAGCGAAACGACAAACACTATCAGCTGCAACCATTAATTAATGAAAATACGGCAGAAGTAAGTGTAAAGTGATGACTAAGGATCTTTGTCACATGGTATAAGCGTGTTACTACAAATACTTGTCTTAGAGAAGCTCAGTGCAATGCTGACGCATTTTTCTTTTCTTCTTTCACTTTTAGATCGCAGCAAAATAATTCCTGTTCTTCTTGGACCAAAGCTTAACTATGTGAAGGTGGAATTAGGTATATTTCGACATACATATACTCTGCATTTAGGAATGGGGGTAAAACTGAGTCTTCCAAGGCTAAATCTGACTCATGATCGATCCATATTGTGTGTGCATCACACGTGCCAGGCTTAGTGAAGAAAAGCCTATCATTGTTTGAATGTTGTTGCCATTTGTAGGCTGGTGAAAACGAATGGTCTGTTGAAAACATTATACATAGGGTTTTGGTCACCCTGCTGTGGCTTTTCTGTAATAGTCTTTTGGCCACCTTTAAATATGAAAACTCTAGGAGCGCCTGGCTCAGTCGTTAAGCGTCTGCCTTCGACTCAGTTCATGATCCCAGGGTTCTGGGATCGAGCCCCATGTCGGGATCCCTGCTCCGTGGGAAGCCTGCTTCTCCTTCTCCCACTCCCCTGCTCTTGTGTTCCCTCTCTCGCTGTGTCTCTCTCTGTCAAATAAATAAATAAAAATCTTTAATAAATAAATAAATAAATATGAAAACTCTGAGAGAACACTCTGGAGGAATGATTCAGACTTATTCTGTGGTCTGAATATTTGATTGATGAATCAATGGGCTTTGAATCAATGGACTTAACTGACTGTACATTTAAGATTTGCCTAGACAGGGCTTGATGAAATCAGCGCATCCAGTTGCATAAGTAATTCCTTTCCAAAAGGGAAGGAAGGAAGGAAAAGAAGAAATTCACCTATGCTACACCATGTTTTATATTAGGTGATTGAAATATATTCTTGAATTAAATCTTCCGAACAACTCCAAGGGGTATTATTCCCATCTTGTGGATTAAATGACCAAAGCCCAGGAGAAAGGGTTCAGTAATTTGTCTAAAGTTAAATCAATAAAAAGTGGCAAAGCTGGGGTCCAAGTTGCTGTTCACTGTTTCCTAAGCCCACACCTTTGGACCAGCATTTGTCACAATCATTTGTGGGACCGCATCTGCCCAGCACAGCTCGGATACTTTGCCATTTGTAGTTGTTGTTTGCCTGCTTTTTATTGGTTTCTGAACTTAGCTCTCTTATTTCTTTCTTCTCATTTTGGGCTTCATTTGCACCTCATTTTTCATTTGTCGACATGGAGACATAGAGAATTAATTTCAGTCAACCTCTCCTGTAGCACATGCATTTTAAACTCTAAAGTTCCCTCTAATCATGACTTGAGTTGTTTCCAACAAATACGGGTATGCCATATTTTCATTACTATTGGGTTCAAACATAAAAAAAAAAAAAAAACTTCCCTTGTGATTTCTTCTTTCTTCTATGGATTATTTTTTCTTCTTAATTTCCAAATCTTTGGAGGATTTTCTAGTTATTTTTTGTTGTTGTTGCTGTTATTGATATATAGTTAAGTTCCATTCTGGTCCAAGATTATACACTGTATCATTTCCGTCATATGAAATTTGTAGTAACTTGCTTCAGGACCAGAATGTGGTGTGTCTTTGATGAATGTTCCAAGTGCGTCTGAAACAAATATGCGTTCTGCAGGTTTTGGTTTTATCATTCTGTAAATATCAATTATGTGAAGTTAGCTAATGGTATTATTCAGATCATCTGTATTTTAACCAAGCTTTTGTGTGTTTTCTTTATCTGTTACCAAGAGATGTTAACATCTCCAACTATGATGGTAATTTATCTCTGTACCCTTTAGTTCTGTCAATCCTTGCATTATATATGCCGAGGTTATCTCATGGGCATATACAAACTGATGCCTGTTGAATCGATACTTTATCATTATAAAATTTCTGTCTTTATCTATCATACTTCTTTCCTGAGTGCCTACTTTCTCTGATAATGGATAGACATATAGGTTTTCTTTTGTTTGAGACTGTCAGGCTTTCTCTCTCTCTCTTTTTTTTTTTTTTTTTACATCTTTTTACTTTTAGCATTTCTTTGTAATCAAATACACATAAAATGTATCTCACGTAGCTGGCATATATTTGGATCTTTTTTGAAATCCAGTCTGTATAGTGTGTAATCCACTTGCATTTCATGAATTATGGATGGAGGTGGTGTGACGCCTCTCATCTTGCTACCTGTTTTTTAGTTGGTTTATGTGTTCTTTGGTCCTGTTACTCCTCCCTTCCTTTTGGATTCATAAAGTATTTTTCTTTTCTTTATTTAATCTGCTTTGTTTTCTTTTGTGTTAGACCTTTTTGTATCCTTCGTTAGTAGTTCTAGAGATTACAATATGTATCCTTGTCTGATTGCAATAAGACAAAGGTACATCTCAGCACATTCATAACTTCATAGCATGGGAGGACCTTGCAACAGTTCATTTCATTTGTCCCTCCTACCTCAGGTTGTGCTGTTATTTTATGTATTTCTCTCTTGCAGATGTGCTAAAACTCACAATAGATCACATTATTATTGCTTTAAATAACCCACAGTCTTTTATGTTTACTCAAATATTTGTATTTTCTTGTGCTCTTCATTTGTTCCTGTAGTTGCTTGCTTTCATCTGGGATAATTTTTCATGAGTCTGAAAACTTTCCTCTGGGATTTCTTGCAGTGTGGTTAAGGCAGGTGGGGGAGGGGCACGGGGACTTCAGTCCTGTGTTTGTTGTACATCGTTTGTTTCCTCTATGGGGGTTTTCTCTCCTAAGTACTATGAGACTGTAGGAGAAACCGGTCAGCCTTCGCAGCCTCCTCAGCAGTCATCCTGTAAGCCCGTGTAGCTGTCAGAATTTCCACTGGGCGCTCTTTTTTTCTACGCTTCCCTCTACGCTGTACAAACCAAAACAAATTTCTCCCAAGAATAAGATGGCTGGCTATCTCAGCTCCCCCCCAGAAGGGCTTTTTCCTGAAGGGCTTTTTCCTGACCGTATTTTCAGCTCGACTGTTTCTCTTTGTTTTCTCTGCACTTGGGGGTCTATACTTTTTAGCTAATTTCATTTTTTGTGTGTGACTTATCCATTTTGTTTTTCTAGAAGTTGCTGTGGGAGTGTTGGTCTGACAGTCCCTACTAAATTGTATGTTGAAAAGAAAGTCCACTGGCCACTCTAAGTTTTAATAATTCATTTAAACATAAACATTTGAAGAGAAACCAATTCATATTTTGGTGATGGCTTATAATTGCTACCTAATTTCTCTGCTTTATACATTTTTTTAAATTTAAAAATAAGGCATATCTGTTTTGTTTCTGGAACATAGCACTATATTATCTTTATATATTAGGTTAACATATAGTGATTATATTCATTTTAAACCTTTGGGAAATCTGAGTTTCTAAGATCGGAACATTGGTTATCAACTTTTATGTAGGAAAAGTTGTAGAACTCAACTGCTCTGCTTTGGTGAATGAAAAGGATGCAGTTTATTGGAACGTGTGGGAAGGAAATGGAAAGGAACCTAATGTTCATGAAGAGAACATAACAAGAACTAGGTATGTATATGTGATACATTATTTGTCACAATATATACAAATCACCTTTTGTTGTAGATACATGATATAAAAAAACACCAGAGTCCTGGACATCTGGGCTCTTTCCATAGTTTGGCTATTATGGACATTGCTGCTATAAACATTGGGGTGCATGTGCCCCTTCGAATCAGTATGTTTGTATCCTTTGGATAAATACCTAGTAGTGCAATTACAAAAACAAACAAACAAAAATAACCCCCAGAGTCCTGAATCAATGATTGGATGTTTAAGTTTAAAATTTTAATTATAATTTACATATTTTATACTTATAATTACCATGCTCTAGGTTGACGGATTATGCAGAAATCTATTGCCAAGATCTAAGCTAGAAAAAGAAGGTCAGTGGGACTTTTTCGCATCATCTTACAAAAGTAGCTTTTGGTCAGTCAGGATCTGAAGGGGATGGGGATTTTACTTAAGCATCTTATAAGATTAGTAATCATATAAGAGTCTCCAAAGCTTGTCAGATGTAAGTTTTGTCTCAAGGAAACACTAATGTACACGTCACCTACCCTGTGACATTCACTGTTGGCAGATTGACATTGAACATAGTTATTATTGCAGCATTTTGCTGTCAAGAGTCCATTAATGGAAATTAGAAACACAGTAAGAACAGGTAAAAGAAATTAAAAAAAAAAACACACAAAGAGGGCATTGGTTAGATGTAAGTATCTAGGAGGCAGCTTTTGGTGCAAAAAGTTTCAAATCACATGTGTATTAGTACTTACATAGCCTATGTTCTTCTAGTAAGGAATGGTCACACTTATTAAAACATGCCAAGCCTGTGGTCATTAAGTGTTTCTGAATGACTTCGGGTCATTACTCTACTTAGTAATGTCCTGATACACTCAGGTTTTAGTGAGTAGTGATCCCAAGGTGTCTGTCACCTTGGCTGCACTTTTGAGGTTTTTTTCTGCCTTTTATACTTCAAAACATTCCTTGTCATCCCACAGGCAGCTCTCGATTCTTGCTGACACTTGCCTGCGAGCTTCTAATGGTGCAAGGTCTGTGGCCTCGCCCGGTAGCGGGCGTGTGAATGCTGGTCCAGCTGAAATACATGTCTTGCCATTGTGTCTTATCCTCAGCATCAGACCTTCACTCGAGTTCTGCATGTCCCCCTTCTCGTGATCTATTGCTAATCTTTGGGGGGACAGAAGACCAACTTGCCAAACTATTTGAAATGGAGCTTAAGCTAAGCTAGGGGAGTAAGGTGGTCTTTCTTTAGAGTTAGGTGCATGAGCTTTTTCCGTCTCCTGTTTTGGCTTCTCACTGACCTTTTGTGCCTTACTTTCGGCGTCTTTCACTGATCTTGGATAGTTGATATTTCTGGATTGGTGACTTCTGAGCAGAATTACGTTCTAAAATGTATTTGAGACAATTGGAGGCTACAGTGGGTGCCGTGTCCCAAGTACTAGAGACACCTGCTGTGGCAGGTGAGTGACCCCACCTGGCGAGGGCTTTCACAGGTTGTCATTGGTGGGGAAGCTGATGTCATGGGCAGTTGCCTGGCATCAACGATAGCACAATGTGGATCTCTTAAGAAGAGAAAGACAACTTGCTGCTGGTGTTTGTCTAAGTCATTTTCTGACACTCCCTGAATGGCTTAATTGGTATTTCTCATGTGCCTGTGGGTGCGTCTGAGAATAGTGTCATTCTTTTTTAGTTTTAAAAGATTTATTTATTTATTTTAGAGAGAGAGCATGCAAGCAGGGGGAGGAGCAGAGGGAGAGGGAGAGAATCTCAAGCAGACTCCACACCGAGCGTGGAGCCTCACACAAGGCTCTATCCCAGGACCCTGAGATCATGACCTGAGCCGAAGTCAAGAGTCGGACACTTAACTGACTGAGCCACCCAGGTGCTCCGAATAGTGTCATTCTTAAGTTTATTTTCAATGCTGAACAAATAAAAGTGATCTTTAGGATTGCATGGAGAAACCTGATAGGAATCTGTATTTATGCCAAACCATTTTGCAGCCTTGTCACGATCAGTGGAGACCTCCCTGTGGGAGGAAAGCTAAGTAGTTAGGAGAAGAGAAATAGGGGGAAATAACTGAGAGAATATTTTCTTGTGTTTTCAAGTCAGCATCATTACCTTCCAGCATTTTCATTCTGGGCAGTGCACAACATCGTTCCCCAGGTGGTCTCAGGAGGGCTGTTTCTGCCTGCCCTAATGCTCCCTGGAGGAGCCGGGACTCGTGGTGGCCCAGTCTCTGAGTTCCCGTCAGAAAAGGAAGGTTCCATAGAGCCAACAGATCCACTGCTCTTGGGTATTTGCATGTATGAATTACTCTCTCCTGGGTCATGTTGCTGGTAATGATCAACGCCTATCACTGCATTATTTCCTCTTTTAAAGGACTCCAGATGGCAAATTGTATGCATCAAGAATATTGAGAATTGAGAATATTAATGAAAAAAATCTTAAGTTTTCCTATAGTTGTGTTGTGGCCGGCGAGGGAGGCACAGACACCATAAACTTTGTCTTGTTGAAAAAAGGTATGAGAAAGTTTTATTGTGGAAGTTTGTGGAAGCTAGAATGTTGCTGTTGAGACACCCCTCAAAGATCACCACTCCCTCATTTTACAGCCCAGGAAGCAAGCTCCCGAGAGGTGAAATTGTCGACCTTGTGTCACAGGCATTCAGGCTAAACTGGGACTCAGTCCCCAGCTGGAGTTCCCTGTGCATTGATTTTGTGCAAAGAATGAAAACACAAACTCTATTCTTTTGCTCTCAATCATATTGCAGACCCAGGTAGAAACCAGGGGCCCCGGACAGGGAAGCAGATGCAGCCTGGAGACAGAGATGTGTGGCTGGGTGTTGTGGGGAAGGCAGGCAGGGCAGCTCCGGCACACCCACAATGATCGGAGGCAAGCTTGCCGCTCAGTGTAGGATGAGGCCAATGATACTGGGTGTACTGTTGCCTCCAGCTTACCTTTGCTGGGCACTGGGCACAGGGGGCCCTTGGGTGTGGTCATTCATTGAACAAAGATGAACCGAGGCCTCCCTTCCTTGAATCAGTCCCTGGACCTGGCAGGTAGACAGTTGATGCCTCACATCAGTAGACTCCTACTAAAGTTTTGCACTGCCTATCTGATGGAGCATTCCAGAGCCATCCCCCTCCTTCCTCTGCCAACACAGTACAACCCAGGTCCATTGGCCCAGAAGCTGCTCAGAAGTGGCTTCATATTATGGATGAAGACACTAAGAGTTAAGGGCATCAGTGACTTTCCTTAGGACTCAGACTAAGTGATGGAGCCAGGTGGAGAGCCCAGATGATCTCAGTTCAGTGCTTGCTCTCTCAAGACTATGCAGTTCATTTATGTTCGCAGCATACTAGCTGAGATGTAGGTTTGGTTCCCTCTGCATTTCACCCTGATATCTTACTGTCCTAGAGACTCACCTTCCCCAAGTAGGGACAGGCTATATCACAATGCTTTCAGGTCAGGTCTCTGAATATGCTTGTACACATTTTTATTCTTTAAAAATTGGAGTAGAAAGATCAGTACTCTGGACTAAAGGCAGGAATGTGGACTAAGTCGATAGGATGTGTTGGGTTGACAACTGGATAAGTGGTCGGTGTAAAAACTGACAACTGTGGTGCGATGGTGGAAGACACTGGTAAACTGTCTTTCACTTATTATTCCTGTTTTCTTTTTCTTTCTAGAAGAGATGGTTGATATCCCAGGCTACGTCTTCACCAGAGGAATGATCATAGCTGTTTTGATCTCAGTGGTAGCTGTGTTCCTAGTGATTATGGGTGTCATTTATAGAGTTGACTTGGCCCTATTTTATAGACATTTCATGGGAAAAGATGAAACGTTAACAGGTAACGAATATCGTAATACTGGAGTTTCTTATCTTACGGCTTCATTAAGAAACCAAATAAAGAAACATTAATCTTCATTTCATTTCATTTTGATTATATTGTTGTCTTAAGGTGTGGTAGAGGTTTTCCATTGGAAAAATTGATTTGAACATTGTCTAGTATCATCTTTCCTTTTTGTACTTACTTGTATGTTGCCAAAAACTGTTTGCCAAACAATTGTTAATTGTTTTATACATGTATGTCATGTCCTTCTAAATGCACTGTGAGATGCTTGTGCCCAGGGGCTATCATTATTCACACACTATCTGGGCACCTTATATAATGTGCATAATTCAGTAAACTTCATTTAAATAGAATTGAATTATATTATGGTTCATTATTTTAACCGGACAAAGGAGGCAACCTGATGTATCTGCAAGAACCCTGAACTAGAAGCCAAGTGACCTGGGTTCTAGCTTCCTACATCTGTGTTTTTCTCTATCTGGCAACTCTGTGTCTCCGTTTCTCTATTTTTAAAGGTAATTTGAAGAAGTCCTCAAGTTTCAAGACAATTACTGAATTGTGTCAACTATAGTTTAATAAAAAAAGATAATTCCTGAATTTAAAAAATCAGTCTAATCCATTGCACTTGCTTTGTGTGTGTGTGTGTGTGTGTGTGTAAGGCACACAGTTCAAAATGCAGAAAGTCCAAGAGTAGAAAATCGCCCTGTCAGCCTGTCCCATGTCTGTGTTTCCCCCTTCGTCTGCCATTGATAGTATATCCAAACAAATATGAATATAGGATCAAATCCCACACCTGTGTTAAAGACAGATCTGGGCAAATTATGTACACTATTCTGAACTTTGCTATGCTTTGGATGCACTTTGGTATCAGTTTATAAAGTCTCCTATTTGTTAGAATTGTGCAGAGTTTTATGTCTGCAGATGTATCCCTGTTTGTTTGGTCACATCTTGGGTTATTCACAACCTTTTTTTATTACAGAAATGATGTGACAGAGAGTTTTGTAGAGTCATCGTTTCATCTGTGTGCAGGAAAAATTCCCCAAAGTGGAATTGCTAGCAATAGTAAAGGGTAGATACAGTTGTTAATTGGATAGACATTGCCAATTTGCCCTGCCTACTACCATACTCCTACCACCTTCAAAGAATGGGGGTAACTTTATTCCCATGGCCTTACCCACAACCTTTTGGCCATGTGCCAATCTGATAGGTAAAAAGTTACATCTCAGTGTAGTTTTCGTTTGCATTTCACTTACTATGCAAGAGCGTAATTTTTCATTTGTTTAAGGCTCATTTGTATTTACTTTCTCAAAATACTCATTCATATCCTTTGCCATTTTTCTATTGGGTTGTTGGCCTTTTTTTCTTGTTTAAACCTTTCTAGGAGCTACTTATATTTTAAGGAGGTTAGCCTATTGTCTATAATATGAAATGGAAATATTGTTCCCAGATTGTAATTTGTCTTTTGACTTTGCTTATAGTAGTGTGATATGTGGAAGATATCTTTTATTATTCTTAAAGTATAATTGACACAGTGTTATATTAGTTTCAGGTGGATATTTTTATCATGGAAGATTTTTTTTAATGTACTCAAGTTTATCCTTTTATGGTTTCTAGATTTGTGGTCATAAGTAGAAAGACCCTCCTGACCTCAAGTTATGAAAGAAGTCTCATGTTGTCCCTGTGAGATTTTTCTAGATTCATGATTCACATTTACAACTTTTAGTTAATAATATCAAATTAACAAAGCTAATTACTTCAGCTTTGAGCCTGTGTGTGTATGCAATTTTGGTGATGGAGAGAAATGCTACAACTGAGAGATCTATTTTTGGTACCTTTTGAACAGGTCTCTACTTACATGGACCAGAACATATCTCAAAATGGGCACTCACTAACATCTTTCTGATCTTCAACGAAGATTTTTTTCCCCCTTTCTGTTGTGTTTGACCCAATTTCACAGATAATTTTTTCAGTTCGCACTTCCTGCCTCCCAGTGTGGCAGTGCATAGAAACATTTATAGATGGGCTGTACATCAGCTCTTTTTAAAGTATGACCCATGACAGTGATCAGTCGTGAAAAAGACAGAAATAGAGACATAAGTGCAAAAACTAAAACTTTCATAGCAATTTGATATTGCTGCAATATCCAAGAATGTTTTCAGTATTGGTTTTTGAAGGATTGGAAATGAAAGAAAGCCAACAACCCAAACCAGTCAAATGAAATGAAAACATGATCATTTGCCTAACACAGTTTGAGAGGCATGAGCCTGACTTCTTAAAGTCCCAAATATACATTCACGTGAGGGTTTCGTTTATACAGAACCCAAAATTATTATTATTAGCTTCCAGATACCTTATCTTAAACACTTCACTTTGTCAGTTATCAAAACTAGCAAGCCATTCAATTACCTGGGTTTAAAAGAAATTGTAATATAAATTACAAGATTTGCTAAACCAAGAAGAGAACTGCTTGGAATTAGGTATTTGAAAGCCATCGATAGTTGAAAAACCATTTTTTCATTTTTCATGGCTAAGAGTAAAGCTGTATTACTTGTATATCACCATATAAACTTGACTGAATTGTTTTCCTGGTTTATTGCAATAGTAACATCATGATTACAAAAAAAAAAAGGTACCTTTTAAAAAAGTGTATTTATTTATTTCTTACATCTTGGTGCCTGTTCTAATAACTGGCATAATGATTACAAGTGCAAGCTGTAGCTCTTACACTATTAAATAGCTCTCTTTCACAGCAATCTAACAGAATTACCCGGGGCACCCATTTTCTGAGTAAACTAGCAACTGGTTCTGTTTTTACCAACTTTACCTACCTTCGATATGCATGTGAATTCTGCAGGTTTTACCAAAATGTCCTTGCTTTTATATGCATGCAGTTCTGCAAAGCAGTTGCTTTCCATCAACAGTAGGTTTGGACTTGCACTGCTGAACCTGAATGCCGTAAGGAGAATTGAAGAAGCTTTGCCAGGACAAAAAGAGTTGTTTTGTGAGCCTGGATGCCACTGAAGATACTAGGCTGAATTGTTGAGCATAGGTGATACGCACCACAAAGAACATGGACCTAAAATGGTTTTGTCCTATTAGATTTTAATAAAGGATCCAATTATATTTAGTTTTCAACTCAGTAGCAAATTCATAATCCCAATACTATACACAAGCATAAATCCAACCCCTGTACCATCTAACCAATTGTCATGGGTCAGGGAGAGACCATTCCCCGCCCACTTCCCCTTCTTCCTCTACCAGTCCCAGTTAGCGTCAATTGTATTATTCAGGACCTGACTCAAAATTTCCTTTTCTCAGAAAACATGTCCCCGAGAGATCACTCTTTAGGCTCTGACCAAGCTGATTCTGTTTGTTTTACTTGTTTTATTATACTGTCTCGCATCTGCTAACGTGTTATTTGTAAATGTTTTCAAGTTGTTGCATTTGCCGGCTCTGTCTTCTCAGATAGGTTGGATGAAGATAGAAGAGGGTAGTGTATATAATTTTGTAGTTACCCAGATAGTACAGTGGTCTTTGTTATTTAGGTAACTCTTTCGTCTTGACTTTGTCCCGTTAGCCTCCTGAACACTGCTTCATTATCAGGAATTAAATAGGAGAGATGTTATTATCAATGAAAACCTTTCAACGGACAGGAAGTTTTCATATTGGCATCTAAGAACATACAATATTTTTAAATATCACAGCATGTGTTAAAATAGCATAGTGCTTAAATCACTTCTATTGTTTCTTCCCGCTTGCCAGTGTAAACGCTCAGCTTTGTTTCTGCCTTTGCCTTCCAATGGGTCATTTTGAGGGTAGACATTTTAGGATCATGGTAGAATTAGCTGATATGAGAAAGCCAAGGTGACATTTGCTTTCCGCTCCTGGAACGAGGACATAGTTGGGCTCCTTGGTGCCTTTTATTGCCTTTAAATTCCTTTAGTTTCTGGATTTATATCTCGTATTTCTCTCCATCCCTCTATGGTGTCAAACAGTGAGAGTCTTAACATACATGCTTAAAAAACAATTTGCTAATTGGTTGCTTGATTAGCATTTGGGAGGTTTGTGGAGGTTATTTTTTGTTTGTCTTTAATAATAATTGAATTTATTTCTTGTTTTTGACAACTTAAAAAATCAGAGATAAAGAATAATGCCTAAAAAGAACCATAGAACCAAAAAATATTTGACGGACCTTGTGAGTTACCTAGTTTAAACATTCTTGTTCTATTTTTTAATTGGTTTTCTGGCAAAAATATTTTCTGTATTCTTTTTTTGAACGACTTCATTGAGCTCTAGTCAATATACAAGCAACTGCACATATTTAATGGGTACAATTTGGTGAGTTTGGGTGGGAGGATGCTCTACTTAATTTTTTCCTTTACAATGGTTCCACTCCCATTTTTTGTGACTTTCACTCAAATTTGTACTTAAACTTTTATTTGCACTGTAATTAAAAGAGTAAACCTTATTCCTAGATGGAAAAACATATGATGCTTTTGTGTCTTACCTAAAAGAATGTGGACCCGAGAATGGAGAGGAGCACACCTTTGCCGTGGAGATTTTGCCCGGGGTGTTGGAGAAACACTTTGGGTATAAATTATGCATATTTGAAAGGGATGTCGTGCCTGGAGGAGGTAAGAAAGGGAATACCAGATAGAAAACTAGTAGAAAGATTTTCTTTTTAAAAGCTGAATAGTGTAGCCTTGCAAAAGGCAATCCTGTTTTGCTTAAAAACAAACAAATGAACATGATCCTCCAAACCAGAAATAACCAGCTAACTGAATATAATCAATAGTGAGAAAACAAGCCAACTACACTGCTTCTGAGAGTGGCCTCCCTGGGGCCCAGACTCTTCATTGCCCTTCCTAGTTCTCTGAACCTTTGGGGAAAGGGCATTCCACTTTCAGAACCAGACCCAGAATTCGCATTGTCCTGAGGCATTTATCTAGAAATGCCCCACAGTAAGAACACCCTTCTTGGTAATATTTTGTACAGCAGGACCGGTTCCTAATTTAATACGTGATCCTCTGGACTATAAACACAGTTCATTCTTACCGGAAAATACTTGCTCTTTATTGGGTTGACACTGGTGTGAAAATTACAGCAAAGGCTAGGAGAGTCGGAAAAGGAAAAATAAAGGGAGATTGATGATTCGTGTCGGATTTTAGTGATGCAATTCAGTTTTTTATTAGTATCTGAATACAAATGACCATAAAACATATATTGAAGCAAATTCCAGTTCAAAGCCAAGAAATTTAGTAATACGTCCATATTTTCTCTGAAATTTTCCAGCGCAAATATTTGAAATCTGGTGTCAGAATAGTTTGGGTGCTGATGCATTACCAAGGATGCAATATAAGTGTTTCTACTGCCACCATCATTCACTCAGCCAACATATACTGAGTGCCATCCTCGGGCCGAATTTTGAGCTGGGCACTGAAGACATAGCAGTAAATAAGGAATAGCTGTGTTTTTTCCCCCTCCTAGATTACAAATGAGAAAGGGAAAATACTACCAGTTAGAAGGAGAAAATAATACTACTTTTTCATAAACAAATACTAATTGATTAATAAAATAGATTTCTTCTTAGTTCTCAAATGAAAAGAAAGACTGTTTGTATATTTAATTGTAAATAGTTGGGATAAAAACCTCTATTGGAGAAGGGGTAGAGGTCTAGACCAGAAATTGCCAATCGGCCTTGTTGAAACACAGCGATGCACTCTTTAGTTTGTGTATTGTCTGTGTTTGCTTTTGAGCTAAATAGCAGAGATGGGTAACACAATGCCGGAAATCGTCACTCCCTGGCCCTTTACAGAAAGTTTGTCAACTTCTGGTCTGGTATCATGGTGGGATATATATATTTTTATCTTTAAATTCGGATTTCAGTGTGCTCCTCCCTGCCTGCGGAGAGGCAAGATAGCATCATGGGACTCTGGAAGCAGACTGCTTAGGTCCTGATTCTGATGCTGCCATTTACTGGCTGTGTGACTCTGGACGAGTTACTTAACCACTCTGTACTTCAGCTTCCCCATCTGTAAAATGGTGGTGATAATGATACTTTCTTCAGAGGGTCATTGTGATGCTTTAATGAGTTGATATATATAAAACATCTAGAAGAGGATTTGGCACAGAGTAAGGGTCAAGTGTTGGTTATTGCTGTCACCTAGAGGATTGTGTGTTTTTTTTTTAGATGATTGTTTTTAACAGGTATATAAAGTTGAGAATAAGTGGTTTGTCTTGAGAAAAATTATTAGTGAAGTAGAGTTAAATAATACAAAAGTAGACCTTCATCTCCTGTCTTTCCTCTTTAATTTTTAATTAGTTCTCTTTAATTACTATGCCACATCTTGCATTTTTAGCTGTTGTTGATGAAATCCACTCATTGATAGAAAAAAGTCGAAGACTGATCATCGTTCTAAGTAAAAGCTACATGTCTAATGAAGTCAGGTACGAACTTGAAAGTGGACTTCATGAAGCTCTGGTAGAAAGGAAAATTAAAATCATCTTAATTGAATTTACACCTGTCAGTGACTTCACATTCTTCCCCGAATCACTACAGCTTTTGAAATCTCATAGAGTTCTGAAATGGAATGCTGATAAACCTCCGTCGTATAACTCAAGGTTCTGGAAAAATCTTCTTTATCTGATGCCTGCAAAAATGGTCAAGCCATGCGGAGCTGAATCTGAAGTCTTACCTGTTCTTTCACGGTCCTGACCTTTAGGAAAGCTGAACATAAGAAAGAACTCTTGGCACTCTGGGCCCGGAGTGGATGAGCCTGTTTTTAACAAAGGGCACTATTAAAAATATTTACCTCTCTGAAAATCCTACTTAGAGTTTGAACATGACAGTCGTCATTATGTTGCCAGGGGTAAGACTGAAGACTGAGCCTTGGTCATGTGCTCCCAGAGGAACCTGGGATTCCAAAGAAATGCATCTCCTGTTTCTCCCTCCTCAATAACTGGCCCCAGTGCTCATTCTCAATCCACGTTCAGCAACTTTGAGGCTGATATGCCTTATAAAAAGGGCACATCTTTACGTTTTTAATGCTATTGATTGAATTAAAGGATTGGAAGTTCATGAAGTGGCATTTTCTATGATCCAGTAGGTGACGTAATAGCGGGAACGGTGCCTTCACTCTCCCACAGTGCAGCCTACCTCTAAGCACCATGGATAGTGCCTGGGATGTGGTGGAGAGCTGGTGGGGCTGTGTGCATCGGGGACCGAGGTGTGACAGGGCCTCAGCCTCAGGACACGTTTAATGTGTCCCGGCCACAGCTGCAGATCCACAGTTGTCAGGACCCCCCTGAAGCACTGCACAGGGCTTGCTTAATTGGGCCTATTTGGAGGGAACTTCCCCAAACTGTTTTATCTTTCATGAGAGGCACACATTTGAATTAAGATAATTCTCTGGGTTTTTCAAAAATGGTCTAAAACATTTGTTGATTTAACAGGAATGTTTATAGATAAGACAGGGGCCAGATCATATCATCCATATTAGCCATTAGTTACTATTATCCATTAGCCACAGCAAAATATGATAGTTACTGGCTTGATTTGTAAAAAAAAAATGACATATTTAAAATGCCTCCAAGGTGGAGGCAGCATGGCGTGGTGTTTGAGCATGAGCCATATAGTCAAGACACTTGAGTTCGAATCCTGGGCTTGCTACTTACTTCGGTGACCCCTGGAAACTTTTGAACCAATCTGCGCCTCCATTTCCTCATCTGTAAATTTAGAATTTATAGTAATTGTACCTACTTCACAGGGGAGCTAAATAAATAAATATAAATAAAGTACTTACAACAGTTCTTGGCACAGACTTAATAGTATATGTGTGGCTATTACTACTTTACTATTAATTGTTACTATTAATTGTTGGATGAGTTATTTAGCAGTGAACTAAAATGGAAGGCAGAGAGCAGGAAAAGGAGAGAGACCTGGAAGGAAAGCAGTTTTGACTTGAGGACATTTGTATATAGAGAGAAGCATATGGGAGAAGCATATCAATAGGGCGAAAGGTATTTCTCCATTAGACATGTGAAACTTCTGGCATTGGGAGACATGTGTCTCTCACTCTAAGGTGAGCCCAGCACTGTAGGCCTTCTTGCTGGCCTCAGCAGTCATGGCTGTCCATGGAAATCACTGAGTGAGTGACAAATATCCACCTTATACAGAAAGGAAAGAGTTGGGTTAAATCTGGAAGCCTGGTTAGAATATATGGGGTGCAAGGTGAATGTTCCAGAAAGGTTTAAAGCAGAGACTGTTAAAAACAGTTGTAGTAGATATTGCTGAAAATTAAAAAATTGAGATTTTATTAGATTTTTGGTGTGAGAAAGTGATTTACTTTTGTAGAGCTTAAAATTTTGTGTGCTAGTTGGGTGGCTTAAAAAGTAAAAGAATTTATTACTAACTTAATGTTTTATGTGTGAAAACATATGGTCTAGAGAAATTGTATTGCTATCATTGGAGTCTCTAATACATGGACTGATTTTGCTCTTCTCTCTTATTGTGTGTGCTATAAAATACATTAAGTGTATTTTGCATTGTGTTAAATACATATATTAAATGTATGCCTTACAAGATATTAATAAACCATTGGTCTAGTGCTCTTAATTTTGGAATGCTTCTTTATACCTTTTTCACTTACATGAAGATTCTATTTTCTCATTCTCAACATAGATTCCCACGTGTTTCAATAAGATACAGGTCATTCAAAATGGACTTCTACATCTATCTTCTTCTGTTTTTTTTTAATGTCACATTACTTTGTACCTACCTTCTTTGTTGTACCTTCCATCCAGCAGCAAAAGGAGAATTCCCTTCTACAAAGCCACAAAGCCACTCAACACACAGCACAAGTATCAGCTCTTCACATGCCAGTTAATTCACGTGCATATTTTTAAGTTTGAGTGCAAACAGTTCCAACTAGGACCAATAAGTAATTATTATTGATAGAAAAACGGCATTCTCTTCTGTGGATTCAGATGTCCTTAAACTGTGGGGGCCATTTATACTGGAAACATTTATTAAAATAAAGTTATATTCTCTTAGAGCAAAGAGAGAGCTTATTAGCCACATAGCCCCAACCCAGGAGCCTGAAATGTGCTAAGTTCAGGGACTTGGCCCAGGTCATACAACTAGCTAGCGTGATAGCTGGGGGCAGAAAGGTGTGTCATCTCTTCTCTTTGGAGTTGCCTGTTGGACAGCAAGTCTTGGGATAAGTTTCTGGAGGGTGCAGGCACTTTCCTGGGTGGGGCACCTTATACTAGGGGGGTCTGGGGCAGAGCCTGCAGAGAGGAAGCATGGCTATTTAGGACTAGCTCAGAGGAGGACAAAAGAGTATGAAGGATCTTCAGCCTTTCTTCTCGGCTACTAGGGTAAGGATAGAGGGGGGGAAATAGCACTCAAATCCTGCACAGGATGAAAATGTGCACTTGACTAGAGCATGTCTGCTGTGCCATCTGCCAAGATACAGGGAGTTAGACCTCTGACGGGTACTAGGAGCTCCCGCTATGTTGATGCTGATGGTTGACCAGGTCAGCGAGGCATAGGGAGGCCAGGACAGCCAGCAAGGTGCAGAGAGGAGGAGCTTCCCTGCAGCTATCAACATACTTGTCTGAAGCAGGGACAATGGCAAAACCAGTGCCCAAGGCCAAGTCGAATCGTAGCTTTAAATTCGAGGAAATAACTGAAGTGCAGCTCTGAGGGAGGAGACCCAGCGTCTGCGAGAAGCCAACTTTCTGAGCAGAAGCTACTCTGAGAGGTGGGCTCAGGAGTAATGGAGGGCTCTTCAAAGAGTGAGCAAGCCATAGCTCTAACAGGAAATGGTGTGTGTGTGTGTGTGTGTGTGTGTGTGTGTGTGTGTGCGCGCGCGCGTGCGCTGTGGGCAGGGCACACGGTCCTTTCTGCATGCTCCACCGGTAATGACCACAGTCCAGGCTGGGGGCTCCGAGACCAACGTCTATATTTCTGTGTGAGGCTTGTGACGACAAGATTCTGTCTCTTTACAGCCTATCTTGTGGTTGCTCATACACACTCAGGGAATGTGATTTATGTTATACCCATTTATACATCAAGATATACAACTTGATGTGCGTGTTTAATAATTAATGGTGAACATGCTAAGAACAGACTTCTGGATTGTGTTTTGGGAGTCCTAGGGCTTTTTTTGTTTGTTTTGTTTTTTTATTTTATTATGTTATGTTAATCACCATACATCACATCATTAGTTTTTGATGTAGTGTTCCTCATGGTGCCTTAGGGACCATCCTGGGCAGTGGGTGGAGTGCGGGGGAACATGGGAACTGGGTCCAGTCTTCTCCCCACTGCCCATTCCTTCCAGATACCTCAACTAGAGCAACACTGCTTTTACCCGTTTTTATGTTGAGGTTCCACATAGTCGTTTTATTTATTTTTTTAAAGATTTTATTTATTTATTTGACAGAGAGAGACAGCAAGAGAGGGAACACAAGCAGGGGGAGTGGGAGAGGGAGAAGCAGGCTTCCTGCCAAGCAGGGAGCCCAATGCAGGACTTGATCCCAGGACCCTGGCATCATGACCTGAGCGGAAGGCAGACGCTTAACGACTGAACCACCCAGGTACCCCAACATAGTCATTTTATTTACCAAAATAAAGTACCTCCAAATAGATCATGGTTTAGATGTAATGAACATAATCCTCTCTAGCTAGTTTAAACAGAAACGGTTCTAGAATTGTGAGAGAGGGAAAGAAACAGACCCTAGACTAATCTTCCAAGAACATCTTCCGAAGTCACACAAAAAACCGGGCTGTCAAAGGTGCTGATCCTCCACAGACAGGAAGAAATCTGCCGAATCAGGAAGCTCCTGATGTAGCTGCCAGATCCTGAACTAGTCTGGAGTCAAAGTTGAGGGAAAGCCCATACTGTGGAATCGTCCAGGGCTGAAAAAGCCAATTGCTTCTGGGTACCTGGGCCCCCCAGGACCAACAGAATTATTAATTTGTTTTATCCCACAAGAAATCTAATAGCCTCAGAATGATTTATGATACTAACACAGCCATCTATATTTTGCTTATTAAAAATTTCAAGCGGCAGCGGCGCGCACTGAGAGGCCTGGCCGGGTGTTGCGTGCCCCGCAGGCGCGTGGCCGCTGCCGGGGAGCCTGAGGCCCGGGCCTCGCACGCAGGGCCTACCCGGCTGCGCCGTGAGCTACCGCAGCGTCGGCGGCGAGGCCTCCTAGATGGCGCGTTGGGACTCTAGGGAGCAGAGCGGAGGCTGGGCCCGGGCCGCGAGCAGGGTAGGAGGCTGACCGGCCCGCTCGCCCCGTGGGTGGATGCGGCGGCGGCGGCGATGGACGCCCTAGAGGAAGAGAGCTTCGCGCTGTCCTTCTCTTCCACCTCTGATGCAGAATTTGATGCTGTGGTTGGATATTTAGAGGACATTATCATGGATGACGAGTTCCAGTTATTACAGAGAAATTTCATGGACAAGCACTATCAGGAGTTTGAAGACACAGAAGAGAATAAACTCACCTACACGCCTATTTTTAACGAATACATTTCTTTGGTAGAAAAGCATATTGAAGAGCAGCTGTTGGAGCGGATTCCTGGATTTAACATGGCAGCTTTCACCACAACTTTACAGCACCATAAAGATGAAGTGGCTGGTGACATATTTGACACGCTGCTCACGTTTACAGATTTTCTGGCTTTTAAAGAAATGTTTCTGGACTACA